GGGCTCAGCGGGCTGGCGCCCGCCACGTTCACCTGCCGCATGCGGAACCTGCCGGCGGCCACCGCGAGGCCGGGGAAGAGAAACAGAAACAACAAAGTGGGTCTTTCACAACAGGCCCCAAACAGCACCGCAGCCTTCACGTTCACAGTATTGTTTCAACAAAATGAAAATAACCAGGAAAATCAAATTAGCTTAAGGTCTACAAGCAGTTCAGGTATTTCTGTGCAAGAAATTTCCGTTAATTACACCAAGTTTGAGGAGCTTATGCTGGCAGTAAGTGATTTTCTTTCACAGCGCTTGTATGAGACATTTAGAAAGGTGTTACAATATCAAACTTGGGATGGTCTCATTCCCTGTCAATTTTAAAATATATATATATTAGTGATAACATTTCCCCTCAATTACAGGTTGAAAGAAGTGGATTATTCCCTGTGCTGCATTTTCAGTCTTCCTGAGCAAGCGAGATTAAGTTATTTAATAGGGATATGCTTCTCAAAAGATACCTGCCTGCTTGCAACTGTATCCTCTGCAATATAATTCCCCACTGGGCCACAAAAGATTTAGAGAAACCTTTTTTTTTTTTTCCAAGATGTACAAAATAATTAAGATGTGCTGCGTATTTCAGACACTTTCACTTGTCATGAGCACAAAAAGATACTGCAGCTAGAGGCATCCAATTCCTGCCCATAAATACATGACCTGTTCCTATTAAACACTTCATTTTTGGACATAATGACTGAGCTTGGTAAAAGGTTCTATCTGCTATCATTTATCTACTCTAATCTCCCTAGAAAATGCATTAAAGGAAATGCATTAAACAAATACTGTCCTTGATTTCACTCTCAAACATTGGCTCAAAATATAGGAAAAAAAAGCTGGCTGATAAAGACACAGTCTGATAATTAGTTCTCATGATTTATCTCCTCAGCAGATAATAACTAAAGCTGACTACAGGACAACAAATTGGCATTTGGCAACAACTTTCTAGGTTTCAGAAAATTATATAAAATCGCTCTAAATTGAAATGAAAACCAAGAAAGAAAAAAAGAGCTAATCTCTTTGCTTCTGTATGAGAGAGGAAGTATTCTAGACAAAATTCAAGGATCTGCCTTATTATATAAATTGCAACATAAAAAAGAGATTGAGTTGGAAGTGGGAAAGGGGAAAGTGCCAACCACTGCAACCTTGATCACTGAGAATGCAATGGGCGAATAAAATCAGTACAAGACTCCAGAGGAAGATCAGAGATGTAGCAGTCAAAGAAATAAAAGAAAAAGTGCAATAAAATGCCTCCTTGCTATCTGTTATCTCAGAGACATTTCTCCACGCACCTGAAAGGTTTGCAAGTTATACTCATTTTGCATGTTGAGCTCTGGTACAACTTACACCTAGAGCATCTGCTTTTTTAATTGCATGATTGCTAACTTTCAACGGAGTTTGCAGAATTCATTGCTGTCTTTTCAGCTTTATGGGTTAGGCCACGTGAGGAGAGCAAAAGCCAGCTCCTCAACCTGAAATAAACTTCCCTACAGCTCTGTGCTAGAAATCTCTGCTCAGGTTCCACAGCTTTGAAACAGCTCTTAGCATAAATCTTCCTTCTTAAAGTGAGGTGCAAAACACTTCAGTGGAGACTTTGAGAGAAAACCAGCACGTTTCTGGACTTTTGACTAAGAGGGGAAAAAAGTGGGTACCAGCACTGAATTAGCTGAAAGTGATGTGAACTTTATTTTGGCCACATCCTATTACTTACTAGCTCACAACTGCATACAGGCGAGCCAGGGGAAAAGGAACAAAGTTTCTAGCAAGCTGATTTAACATGTGCTGCTACACCTCCTTGCCAACCAGCCTTTACAGCAGCAAACTATTCCATGAAAGCATTTTTCTTTCAGACTGAGCATCTCACATCCTCAAATCTTGTCTATACCAAAAAAATGCACTACTTGAATCATATTGATTTAAAAATCAATCTCATTTAAGTGGGGTGCACCCATAATGTAGGTTCATTTCAGTCAGGTTAAGCCTTCCATATATCTACCTAGCTTAATCTGGTAAATTCTTATAAGCAAAGGTTTCATCTAAGCAATGTTACTAAGCTGCATCAATAAAAGTACATTTAAACTGATGTTAACATGTAATTACAAGTTTGCACCAGTTTAACTACAATTGATTTGTTGCTGATTGGTGTTACACCGGTGCACCCTTTAGACCGGGAATGTCTCAGGATATCAGTTACTCAGAATACCATCCACTGTGCACTTGGCTTCCTGCTTTTAATGTTATGAACTTTACCTTATGCAAATTCTAATTAGCCATATCAGACAAGTAATTTTAAGTATAAACTATGGAAACAGTGCAACCTTTTCCCTTTTGTTCAGATTACAAAATACAGCCAGCTGTTTCTGATTAGGAAAGCTGTTCCATGGAGCAACTTACTCATTTATTCATGCTACAGTTAATCACCAGCTGTTCTTACCTGTAATGTGTGTAAGGAATGAGGTTTGGTATCTCCAGCATCTGAGCATCAGGTTCATTCTCCACCTCATGGAGATTCACCCACTCTTCTTCATCACCCAGAACACCAACCTGTACACGGGAAATATAAGAATAAATGCAACCCCAACAATACAATACCCCTATTTGCAACGTGAGTCACCTCCACAGTCAAAGGGCCAATACCTTTATATACATAATACGTAGTGACTATTTGTTTTTATAGGAAAAGGTCTTGCTTATTCCCCTTCGCAAGTTAACGTCCATGAATTTGTTAAATCCTTTTTTAACCTGCTAACCTAATTTACTCCCGGAGACTCCTATGGCAACAAATTCCAGAAGCTCACGACCCACAGTGTAAAGAACTGCTTTCTTTAAACTTTTAAAAATAGATCCCTTAGGAGTTTGATAGAGGATACTAGGTATGTATAGACACTGTCAAGACACGTCACAGGCAACACGGGCTGCAATATCTAACATTTCCCCAAGTACTTCAAATGGAAAAACTGGTTTCACCCACTCTTTTTTCCTTTCTTTTCCCCTACAGGAGAAGAAGCCTGATTTATTTATGGATGTTTTAGTGTTTTGCTCACCCAGGAGATGCTGTGCTGCATATTTATGTTTGTGCATGAAGAAATGACACAAGGAAAATTAGGCCAAAGAAAGAAGTTGTGCCTTGCCTTGAGAGGGATCTGCTGTGATCTCTCGAGCAGAGGACGGCTTCCATGGAGGGATGTGCTTGCAAAGGCCTTTCAGCCTGTTGGGTATCAGGGACAGGGCCACACACCAAAGAGCTTGTAAAATAGTTGGCACTGCAGATTACGTCCCTTTCAAAACTCCCAACCCCAGCTGTGCTATAGAAATTTCAGTGAAGTTCATAGGTACAGAAGCTTAATTAATCAGCAACTCACACAGGTTTGCAAGGTAAAAGAGAACAGCCCCAAACTGAATCAGAGAACAAAGAGATGATAAAGAGAATTTTCTGAAAGAGCCACTGAACAAAGAAAGGAGGAGTGGATTGATTTTCAGTCACAGAGACATGAACACTTCCTGATTAAAAGAGCTGCTGATTAATTTCGTAGAAAGACTTTAGTAAATGGTTATTTTTGCAAAACTTCTTGCTCTTAGCAGCGTCACCTCAAAGCTGCAGTAATTGTATAGCAACAATCCATCGTGTTTTCAGAGGCTGCAAATAATTTCCAGCAGCGAGCTAGAGTCTCCTTTTTTACGTTTGAAGAACAGGGAGAGCTTTTAAAAATATTTCTTGCAAAAAAAAGACCACAGGTTTCAAAGACTATGCAGCAGCAGGCAGGTCATTAATACACATTAAGGACCACATGGTTCAGACCCAGAGGCCCACAGGGCTGTGAACAATTGTCATCGACTCAAGCTTGAGAGGTGTCCAAAGCCTCTGTTTTGCAGCTATATACTTACCAGCTGGCTGAGAAGGTGGAAATACTGAGAATCTTTTGCTGATGGAGAAGCAACAAAAGCTTCTCTGTGCCAAACCCCTAAAAAGCTACGCCAGGAGACAGCTACTTTTCATCATCCCTGTTAAGGACGATTAGTGCAGCAGCTCCCAGCGCACCAGGCGCGTTGGTCCTTGCCACGCTCAAGCTGGCACCCAAGGCCTGTGTTGGGAGTCACGGGCCAAGTGGCAGTGCACACGGTCACAGTTTCCATGTTTAAGATCCATTTGCTGCTATGCTGCCAATGATGGGGTCATAGACATTTATATATCTCAGCAAAATTTATGAAAAATAAATGAGAAATTTGCTAGAGTCGAAACCGGCTAATGCCTTGTAACATTTTGGGGATCCAGTGCCAGCACTTGGGAATCTTTAGCTTAGGGGATTTCATTGTACTTGTATTGAAATCAGTACCGTAACTTCAGCGCACGCTTCCACAAGGAGGATTTTCCGAAGCCGTTCCAAGGCGAATGGCCAGAGACTTCTGGCTCCTGTGGCCAAGCAATTCTGGGTCACCGCTAGTCAGAAGAGGACCCACTTATTGAGTGATAGTGGCAGAAATGGGGCTTGGAAGAGAACCTTCAATGATGGACTTGCATGTTTTTTCTTTGCAAGATCTCTTTTAGATTCCAAGTTTCAGGCTTCTGCTGAAGCCCTCTCATGTCAGATCGGAGGAAACTTATCAGCTGCAAAAATCAGAGTACAAAAGAATCCCCAGGAGGCAGAAAGCACTATGGGCAATGCCAAAGATAAGAGTCTTTTTTGGGGCCAGAAAGTTCACTCTGAGCAGCTCTGTACAGAATAACCTTAATTTTGAGACTTATTTCTTACTGCTACTTTTTGGATAACAGTGTAAGCAAACTTTAGAGAAGGACTGTGCTTAACAGATGCACAAGTGTTTATTGTTTCAGGAGAACACCAACTGCTTTAAAAAGTTTTCAATAAAAATCATTAAAATTTGCAATGAAAAATTGTTTGCCTGTGACTTCTTATATAAGACAGTGAAGTATTGTTTCAAAAAAGTACTAATTGCAGTAAAGGAAAACACAATGTTTCTGTACATTACAGAGGTTCCCTGTATTCTTCTATAGTTCAAGGCATGGCAGATATTATAACTCAGGGATTTGAAGTTGCTTTGGGATGAACTTTGGTACACAGGTTGTCACTTCAGGTGCATTTTTTTTCTTACAAAAGAGTACTTAAATTGATTCAGTCATTTCTGATTTAAAGATTAGTGAGAACATAAAACTGTCAGAGCTTCAGACACTTTATTTACCTGCTCTTATGTGAAAATGACACCAAGAGAATCATCTCGTACAATGGATGGATCCTAACAGGGCCACTGACTTAACCCACAAAAATGAATAAATGCCTGGTTAAAGTTACAATGCTTTTTCCAACTCAGTGCTTTATGAATAATATAGCAATAATAATTTAAAGGTTTTACTGCTTTGAAACTCCCTTTTCCAACTCTGCTACTGCCCACCATCATATTCACAAGAAATTTCTCTTGAAAAAGAGTAACTTTGTAAAGCAAATTCTGTCTATACATACCCACGGCTCCATGACTTGGCACTGCCTCCTCACAGGTGACCTGCTGCCTTTGCACAGGTCTTCTGCTGTCTGCACAACGACACTAATCACTGGAATATCCAGCTCAGCAGAAGTTAGCCCAGCTTCACTGAGCAGCCGCTAGAACTCTGGATGTGGTGGGCAAAACATCTACCAAGGCTCCGTAATGATTATGTCGTTTACCTCTTACTCCTGACAAAACCCCAGGAAAAAATAAGCAAGAAAAAAAATCAACTGAAACCAGATTGCAGCACAGAAGAAGTGCAAACATGAAACCACATGAGCAACAGATGGGATTCATAGATATTTGTGGTTGCAAATTGCAAGGAAAAAGACTACAATACGTATTGATGAACTGAATCTGAGTGTTCGGGATGACCTGTGGTCAGAGCAAGGACGTTCAGGCGCAGTTTGGGGATGAACGTGTTACCTGAGAGTATCAAGGCCATAAGACATTTACTGCTGGATATTCTGAACAAACCTCAGCAAAACCTTTACTGTACATCAGACTCTCTTCCCTTTAGATTATACTGAATTTAATGGAAAAGCAATTTTGCATTTAAATGGCACACTACTTTTTTGTAGTTCTCTGGGAATCCAGTCTGCTCTAGTCCTCTGGGTGTAGATGTAAAGATGGAAAAGAAACGGGCTAACAATTTTTAAGAAATCTCTTCAGAAGTAACGTAGCTTTACTAGAAACACAGGGATGGAATTGTTAACATCTGATATTTCAGTATCTATCAGGACTAAAATCTTTAAAGACCTGATTCTCTCTCATCTTCAGCAACATAAATCAGAATTAGTTCCACAGCAGCTCCACTAAATTTGCACCACGGCACAGAAAGCAGAAGCCAAGGCCAGATGTACAGAATTTCATGTAAACTGGAATTCCCAGCTGTGTTTTTCATCCAAATTGCTCAGACTTTAAAAATGGCACTTAGCCAAAACGGAGTACTTGTTACATATTCTGGATCTGCCCTTATTAACTAAGCCTTGTACCACATAAAGGAACAAAGAAGAAAAAAGTGATGGTTGGAGATTGGTTCTACACGTGAATATAAAACAGATGAAGTCTGTAAAGACTCAGATTCTCAGGACAGGGTATATCCCAGTAGACATGGAAGAAAGAATATAAGGGATGTTCAGTGTTAAGCTGTTGCACAGCTCTGTGAACAAGGGGGAATGGAGACTGAAGTGCGCATGGTAGGACCACGTCGGTCATGCTTAGTCATGAACCCACAGACAGGGCAAGTGCCGACCAGAGGGGCAGTCCTGGGAAGAGATGGACCTAGTCCTCTCTTCTCGCAGGAGATCACACTGCCTAACATCACATCAAATTTTAATGTATTTTTCCTATTCTGTTTAGCTGATACGTTCCATTCTACATATTGGTCCAAACTTTCAAAAAGGTTGATGGTCAAAAAATGTGTAGTCTTTGAAAAGATAAACAGAAAGACCCTTGAAGTCAAGAGAGCAGGTCCGTACCACGCAGATCCCAGCCAGGACAGAGCGCTCCTGCCCTCATTTCTGCTCCCACCACCACGTACTCGTCCCCTCCCTGGCACCAGCACTCTTGGCACCACAGAACAGTGTTCCAGTGAGTGGCAGGAAAGAGAGGAAGCAACGGGATCAGGACAACGGGAGCTCTGTCTCAGAAGGGCTTAAGGTGCTGTGAAATGACACTTTAGGAGCCAAGTGTGAGTGGAAGGCTGGCGGAAAGGGGCTCTGAACAAGGATCACGGGCAGTTGTCATCGTGCAAACATGATTTGTTATATCCTTAAGGAACCATCAATATTTCCTCGTACAACTGAAAAGATTTTTAAAGATTTTTGATAACCAGGTAAGCAAAAACAATTGTTTTAATGTATTAAATCCATTTGACACTGTTGTGTCAAAGCTAAGCAATGAGGTATGGTCTAGATGTTGTTTTCAGAAGAAGCTGTGGTGAAAAAAACTCCTGCTCAGATTCAGCAAAACTCTGCATAGATTCTGGAGCGGGAGCTCTGACTTCAAATGGAGAATATATTGGTAGATCCATGACCTAGCTAATCCCTTGACTTCACTAGCAATGTATAATACGTTGAGGAGTGTTTGCAGATGGCTGTTATCTTCTCTTCCTGCATATCAAAAACCTCGCAACCCCTATTAGTATCTGAGGCTTTTCATGGATGCAGGTGAACTTCATGGTAGTTCTTACTGTAGCATTAAAACATTAAAATTTATTTCATCTCAGTGGGGTTCTGCAACTGCTGCAGTTAACACAATTTCAACACGGTACTCTAGAACAAAAACACTTCTGAGAATGTGCCAAATCATCACATTATAGGATTTCAGTGTTTAATTCTGTAATATGCAATTAAGGTGCATGTAAATGGTACAAAATGTACCAACTTGTTCACAACAATCTCATTATCAAGTGAAGCGATTGTATCAACACATCTAAGTGGTGATGGCGATTGAAGAAGTCCAACATTTGGTCTCAAAAGCAGATTATATTATTTATAAAGATCTGTGGGTGGAAAGGAAGAAGCACAGCTTATCTGTTAGGAAAACAAATGAGGAATGTATAACACCTCCAAAGCACAACAACAGCAACTGAGAGGGACATTGTTTAAAGCTGATGAAGAAAAGAATTCATCCTACTCATATCTAGAGGCCTGGATAGAAAACCTTAGTACATCCCATTATAAGATAGCACAAATACACTCAATCTTACAAACAATAGGATGCTACTGTCCATTGTAACTCTTCCTATAGTTGCCCTGTGACTGAGGAGGTAATGACTCTAGGCTCGCAGGTAGTTTGAAAATGCACAAAACAGAATCAAAACCCAGGTTCTAAAAAACTGGACTTAAGCTCTGGTGAATGTGCTGCTTAAGTGACATCTGGTGTTCTTCTGAACACATGCAAAGCTACTTTACAAAAACCCGTAAGAATTATTTAAAGGATAAACATTCCTGCACATATATAAATATATATTATATATAATATTTTTCTTTTGTCCTGTGAAAAGAACTTACAATATTCATATCACTCTGTCTCTCACAGGCTGTTGCACAGACATTTCTCACTTAAGCCTCTCAAACTCCCAGGTGTTTCAACCCTTCCAGGACTCTTATGAACAGTTGCCCAGGCCACTTACTGAACAGCTTTGATCAAAAGCTGATAAAAACTGTGATCCAAACAGGATTGCCTATTTAGATCCCTCTTAATTGATCAGAAACTTCATTATGAGCTTTTTGTCAGGACATACCTGGCCTTCAACTATCCACTTGGAGATGGAGGTTTTGCCGTCATACCCTGGCCGGAACTGAAGCGTAGCTGAGCGAGGACTGATGTTGGAAATCACCAAGTTGGATGGAGCACCTGGAAGTTCTGAAGAAACAGGAACATAAGAGAGAGGCAGAAAGGCTTTTGGTTTAAGATTCAATAATGCCGGTTGACATTCAGTGTTGTAGTATATTTTTCTAACAATTCTAATAGAGGAAATACATGTGGTATTTTTCCATCTTTGCTAAATATAATATTCCTCTTTCAGCTGCACTGAGCACGCACAAAATTTACAGAACAAAAGTGAAAAGAGAGAGTGCACCTACAGAATTACAGCTGCTATTTCATAAAAGCTGCCTAGCAAAGACAGAGAGTGGTAGCTCAAGCGGGAAAGTACTTCCCAGCTCCTGATCCGCTAAATCGGTTGTCCAATCACTCAATTTCTCTATATTCTGTTTCTCTACAATTAAATGACATTAATATTTTCCTGCTTCTTTAGGTATACAGAACTTTAAAATAGTAACAACCATAAAGGACTGAAATTTCCATGGCTTCCTCCAAAGCCATGCTGTTTTTTTTAACTGACTCAGGCTTCCTTCTTATGCTGCTTTATAAACATCGTCAGATTCTGTCTTGCATCCACTTCAGCACTTTATTTGTTCCCTCTGTCAACCCTACAACATTTTTTTCTTTAATGTGAATCAAACAGCCTCAACTTTTTGGCAATTTCAGAGAGTGTTTCACGCTAATTTTTTTAATGTCTTTTAAGAATAAAGTTGGAATTATGTTGTACGGAATTTCAATGCTTTATGAATAAAACCATTTTCATTATTACTGAGCCGAAGTCGTTCGTGACCTTCAGGAATACAAAAGCAAAGACAGTCACGTTTGAGTCTGCTCCATTCAGCTTTCCCAACCTGGGGGCACACCAGACGAGATGGTGGAGGAGGTGACCCATCCGCTCCCTTTGGCGGTCACAGCTGCCACCTCTATCGTGTAGGTGGTGAGAGATGAGAGCCCTGTAATTTTGTACTCCAGAGTCGTGTTGGTTAATGTGCGGGCAAGGCGAGTTTCATTCCTGCCATACACCTCCCAGGAGATCTGGTAGCCTGAAAAACAATTACATGGGAGTCAGGGGGCGGCAGCAGCAGTTAGGTCTAGTTTTTCTTCAAAAACACAATTATGCAATTGCCTAGACACTGGATAAATTGCTGTTTCTGCAAGATTTGTTCATGGTCAACGGTGCAATGACTTGCTTCTTACTTTATTCTGTTATGAAAACATTTTATAAACAGAAAAATAAAAGTTTGTGCTAGTATTAGCTAGAATACCCAACTATTTTTCTAATGCTACTAATTTCTACTGAGCAGTGGATAGATACCCACAGGATATCATCTACTCATCACATGACAGATGGGAGAGGATACACACTCAACAGTCCGTCTCTTTCTTTCAATGAATATACAGTGCACACAGAATGGTTAGCAATCCTGGGAATAATCTCTCTCAGAAAAAAAGGGCTTTCATTTTGTGAACTCTATAAATAGGAAGAAACACTAGGAAACAAAACATCTCACCAGCTGGAATATCTGATTAAAGGCCAATTTGCACTTAGCAGGGCCACTCCTTTTCTAGGCTGGAGCAGCCATCACGGTTATGTATCTAGAAATACTTACAAATCAAACAGAAATGCTCATGTAGGAACATTGCGGGAATCTTCTAGGAACTGAAAAATCTCTACTCCCCATTGCTTGTTCCTCACACAAACCCTTTTGCAGGGTGAATCATTATCTTTTCTTTCAAAACCATCACGCAGCCAATCTATTGTCCACAACTGCACTCAGCCTGACCTCCATATTATTCTTATATCATAACCAAGTTCTAATATCCTTCCCTTTTTATCACTTCTATAACCGTTTGCCTTCCAAGAACTTTTGAAACTCTATCCAGTCTGATTTGCTCAATTTTGCCTCCAAATCTGCTTGTTCTCCTCCTGCCTGTTCCTACTTTATTCTCTTTGAACCCATCTGAACCTTACTGTGCCATTCTCCAGAGAACCTGTCTGAAAAGTTTGCTTGATTGCCGCTTCCTTTGTGATTTGGCTCTGGGGAAAAAATACACATAGCTCCTGAATGCCTACGAAATGGCAGTGAGTGAAAAGGACTAACAGAAAGAAACCCCGCGGAGCAAACTGTGCATGAAGCAAGCTGGCTAGTGAAACTCCTTCTTTGGTCCCATCATCTCAGATGAGGAATTCAGACCAGTTGGAGGTTTTTCTGGTTTTCCTCTTTTTTTTTTTTTTTTCTCCTAACCGTGATAAACTGATTAACATATACAAATTGAAATAGCAAAACACCTTATGCTCCTGATCAACAGGGAAACATCATCTGAGGAGCTGAAGGCATGGTCAGCCAAACACTGCAACACAGTCTGAAGGGTGTGAAACGTTATCCTCCCTCTGGTGTCAGCTACCACCGCTGACTGCATTCCCACTAACCTGCCTTTGCCTGAAAATGGGCTTGGAGAACTCACACAGCCGCTAATTACATTTCAGGCAATGGGACAGTAATAAACAGATGAACGGTGATACTTCCTTAAACCATCTCAACTACGCCACAACCACGTGTTTGCCTGCACGCTCCCAAGGAAAACAGGAAACAAAAACTCTTGGAGGTTCAACTGGAATGAGCTTCAAGGGTCTGAAATGCCCCATCTATAAAAAGGGAATTAATTAAATCCGCAGTTTTCTGGTGTCTCGGAGACACTGTGTCATTCCAGTGCCGTCTGTGAAAGGCTTGAGAATCACGTACTGGAGGTGACTGCTCAAGCAGAACACACAAGATTACAACCTGAGGGAAGATTATGGAAAAACTTAAGGACTCTTTTGACTTTATTACTGGCAGGTGAACAGAAAGCTAGAGGAAGACTCTCCACTTCATTAGATACCCAGTGAAGGGGTTTGAAGGAGCTGTAAACAGAACGACTGTCACAAACACCCATTTCTTTCAAGAGCTAAGAGAGCAATGCTTGTTGCAGAAGGGTCCAAGGAAGCTGCAGACACGCATGGCCCTGCTTCCCAACCCGTGGCACAGCAGCACGTCTTTGCTGGGAGTAGAAGGAAAAAATTTCATCTCAGAATAAAACAAAATAAGTTGTTCAAAAATAAGTGGCTAGAAGAAAAACAGGGGATTTAAATGTTCTCCCTTACCTATTTGTGGCTTACAAACGAGTTTCATGTACCACACACTGGGCAGTCTGGGTTGAGAGCGCTTCTCTCTAACCTAGATAAGCTTTGGATACATATCTCATTTTGGTGACTATTCTCTAATATTTTCTGTTTTAACCACAGAGACGAGACCCAGCTTTCCTACCCATTATGTACAGAGTCTCTGTGTATGTATTTACTGAAGAAACTTTCACGAGGAAGAACATCCCCAGCTCCGGGGTAAACAGAAGATGAGGCACAGAAGCAGCACTTACTGTGGCTATTTCAGTGCCCAAAGCATAGTTAAATTCTAGCCATATAAAAATGCAAACAGCACATACATACATACATACCAAACAGACACAAAGTGAAATGTAATCATGCATAACAAAAGCAGACGAAAAAATGCTGAAGGAAAGGAAACAACATCAGCAGTGCCCCCAGGTAGTACTTCAGCCACAATGACTGACAGATGGGCCGAACTCTAGGACATGAGATTGGGAAAAATGTGCTGTTTTACAAACACGACGTCTGCACGGGGAGGTCTAGCAGGCCTGAGAAGAACGGGTTTCCTCTGGTGCTGGTGTGAGGGAGAAGAGGGAAGGCGCCGCAGAGCCTTCGCCTGCGGGCCGGCACTTCACCTGCTCCATAAAACACTGCCTAACACAAACTAATGACCAGAGGAGTTTCAGGAATATTTTTCTGTTGATCTGGAGTAAATTCTCTACAAGAGAGCAGTACACCCAATCACAAGCTGTCTGTCTACATCCAGGTCCTCATAAATCAGAGTTTACGGAGAGAAAGAGGATGAGGCGGAAATCTGCAGCGAGAGTAATGGGCAATTCAGCCGAGCAGGCTGCCTGCCCACAGCACCCCCGCTGCCCAGCTCTTAATTCTGGGGCACGAAACAAGGAGTTATGGTAAAGATATCACGGAGCAGAAGAGATGAAGAAATGCCTTCCTAAGCACTCGCATTTCCCTGTATAAACCTCTGAGCTGCTCAGGGGAATGAACAATTTTCCTCTTGCTTTCTTCTGGCCCAAGAGCACTGTGCATCGATAAGGAAAAACTCCCCCCTCCATAAACCTTGCTGGGTGTTTTTACATCTGTATTTCTTCACGCTAAGCACACTGTTAGCAGCTTTGCAGGGGGTAGATTGCCAATTGCTGGGGTAATCAAGGACTTCTCTCAATGCAGCACTGAAGCATTCAGTATCTTATATATAATCTGATATTTGTATAGGCCCTTTACACTGGGGGAACCTAGAAGGCTTTACATGTGGTGTTGGGTCAGGATATTAATGGTTGGTATTAAAATAGTTCTTATATATAATCTGATATTTGTATAGCCCCTTTACACTGGGGGAACCTAGAAGGTAGGCAGTGTTGGGTCAGGATATTAATGGCTGGTATTAAAATAGCAGAGGCAAGAGGAAGGTCATGGGCTAGATTAAAATAGTTGGTATTTTCCTCCAGCTAATGTTCCCCAATATCAGGATAGGGTTTCCTTCAGGGAACCACTTATGTGTAGGGCTACTCTTGAACAGAAACCATAGCACAGCTGAAATGTTTGCAACAGGAACCAAGAAGAATGAGATTCCAATTCATAATACTGGGGAAATTTAATACAGAGCACAGTATTATTCATATCAGGCAAAGTGCCCAGCACTTGTGAAGCACAATATTGTGGTTGCAAATAATAAGGCTAAAATACTTCTTTATAAAGTTTATTTTTTATACTTCAGATGAACTCGGATATACAATTAACTGCCTTTAAAAGGGGAATATTAAAGACAACTTCTGTATTTATAACTCATCTTCAAGCTGCTATCTCAGACCAAAGCAGGCAAATCCTCATGCTTCAAATTATGCTTAAACAATTCCGTTGCTTACTAGGATGAATATTAGATCATCTTGCTTAGATTGCTAGATTTGGATTTAGGTGCCTAAATTTAAGCACTCAGCCTTGAAGGCTTTGGCCGTCATCACTGAATCAATACTGCCCTGCTTTCAGAAGTCATTAGTTTTTGTTCTGTAGTCATTTAAATCAATGCATATTTCAGGAATGCTACCTTAAAGGCATGAACTGATCTGCATAAAAGTTCCACATATGCTACAAACAGCATGGAAGACACATGTACAAATGGTGCACATTAGGAAGACACAGGAAAAAAAACACTGAAAAATGCAATTATCCTTACAATAATTAGCACTGTCAAAATTAAAATGCTTCACAATTTTGTATTGATATAACACCTCAATGCAAAATCTGATAATTTTACTCTTTTTTCCCCTTTTTTTTTTCCCCCCACACATTACAATTTTAAAACCACCCAGTGTTTCAATGCCAATGGAAAAGTTTTGATCCATGTGAAATGTTCTTCTCCCTTCCAAACTATGATTTTACCTCTAGCAATTTAAAATTTGAGGGCTTTATTGCCCTTGGAAATTTTGAAGCCCTTTGTTACATGGCATGCCTGTCCTGCTGTAGTTCTTTTCTATGTGAAAACTATATGCTTCTGTTGACAAGAACTAGGATTTTTCTCAACTATTTATGGTTTCCTTTATGAAAAATAATGAAGTAGCTGATGCTGCATCCCCATTGACATAGAATATAAAGATAAATAGCACGGAGCAGTCAAATGGCAAGCTCATCAAAAGAGAAACAAGAGAGCTCGGTGCTGCTGTGATGGCTTGTGCAAAATTAAGTAATGACATGCAAATTCTGTCACAGAGCCCCTCTCTGGACCACTCCATCACAGATGAAGGATACTGCTGATCTGGGGGCCTTGCCTGCAACTCCTAGCAACGTCAATGCAGATTTTTTAGCTGCAACTTCAATATAGGAAAACCCAAACTTCGGGGCAAAGACCAAGCAGCGTCTCTCAAAGTTTCAGAAATTTAGTAACACAGATGGAGGTCGTGGAAGATTGAACAAGACTGGCAACGCGATGGGGAGCTGATGGAATCCAGGCTGCCTTTTCACCAACCACAGTCATGAGCTGCTGGTAATTGGACCCGCACTTTCTATAATGTGCCCTAGCTGATGTTTCAATCCCCCTAAAGAGGAAGCAGGAAGCCAGGTGGCCCTAAATGCTCTATTATGCCAACATTTTTTCACTGCAATGATATTTTCCACCACACACATTAAAAAAAAAAAAAAAAGAAAAAAGATACCAGCGGATACATGCCTGTAATGATGCCATTTTTTTCTACAGGTTCTTGCCAGCTGACCTTGAGAGACGTGTCCAGAATTTCGGTAAAGCTCAGGTGTCCCACAGCTCCTGGCTCTGGCAATCAGAAAAAGAAATCTGTTAGCAGGAGACCCCCTCCCTTAATTTTGACGTGATTCACAGGGCAAGGTTAGGGCTGAAGAAAGCAAGCCCTGCACCAAGGCCACCGGAAAGCTGCTGGAAACATCAGTGAGAGCTGCAGGGGGGAGGAAGGAATGCAAGGTGTTAAGAAGCGTGCTGGCTATCGTCACATAAATTATTTTATCCAGTCTTCATCCTAACTGTGCCGAGCACTAAAGCGAGACGCAGCAGGAGACTCGCATGTGATGTGTTCTCTGTGTCTCTTCTAGATTTAATCTAATTAGAACAACCTTGCTGGCTGAACCCTGGACGTGACCGCACTTGTCGGGCTCCACGATGCTGCGGGTACCAGGGCGGCTGCAGAGGCTCCTTTTCCATCCCTGGCTCTGTGACGCCACTAGCCAAAAACTCATCCCCAAAGAGCCTTTTGCCTCTGCAAGGTCAGTGCAAGGTCGGAGTTACCGAGCCAGCGCTTAGACAAACTCTTTCAAAACATCTCTAAAAATGTCCAACAGAATGGCAACTAGCTTCTGCAAGAAATGAATACAAGTGTGTGAAACTTTTAAAGGATTTTTATGATGTAGCTCAAGAGCTCTTAAAAACTTCAGCTCCCTAGTGTGCCATGAAAGAGTATAAAAAGGAATGACTGTCAAGAATATGCCATTCTCCTTCAATTTTTATCTTCAAGGAAGACATCCTGACTGATTTTTGATCCAACTGCTGTTCTGTCTTCAATCGATGTACTGGAAAAAGGAGTTTTTGTTCACTTTATATTCACTGTGCTTCTGTCATTGGATCCCTGCCTGAGTATCCTCCAGCTCCACTGACATCAGTTGGCAATTTCTCTGCTGCAATTTCATATTTTGTTTCCTCTTCACTCTAGTCCAGTTTCTCATTCCCCTCCAGCTACGATAAAGGAAAAAAAAAAAAAAAGGCTTGCCAGTAACTTGACTGCGACCACATTTGCAATTCCGCAATCCTAAGGAGGAAAACTTCCAAATCCGTTCTGCGATATCTGGTCGTCAAAGAATTCTGGAAGGAGCTGCTGCGAGTTCAGGAACCCCTAAGCGGAGCCCAGCGCCCGCGCGCTGTGCGGGAGGGCCTTATCTGCAGACACGCAACCCTTGGGCAACGCTTCGCTCTCCATCGGTCCCACAGCTACAGGCCAATTTAACACCCTAATGGAAACCAGGTGCAGGTTGCACCAAGCCAGGACACATTGCTTCTGACTGCATGTCAGGTTATATTTGACCTGGAGTTCTTCAGTAAACAGATTGGTTTGCACCACTTTTTTTTCCGTTTTGTTTTAAAGAAACATCTGACTTTTCTATAAAGCCAGGCACAAAATTACCACCTGAGAACATGAGTGACAGTCCTGTCATTTTTTTTTCCCCCCACCACACAAATCCTAAAGCCACTTAGAGTCACTGACTTCTCTGCAAAGATGCATTATACCACACTACACTTATCTTAATGAGTATCTTCTTAGTCATCACAAAAGTGAGGGAAAGCAATTCTGAGTGACCTAAAATAATATACATCTGTATATATAACTGTCCATCTCTGCTAGCAAAACTCCTTGCAGCAAACAGCTAGACACTCTCACCCAGAAATAAGTTGAAGCAGATAGAAGTTTGGCTTTCCAGAGTTTCAAGTTTCGCGATGGAATTTTACCCCCTGCCTTCCACAGGGTCTCTGATATGAAAGGTTCGTTGCTGCAGGCTTTCCCCCAGCAGAAACACTAACAGAGTCTCTTTCCTCTACCCAACTGACTGATCTTCACAAACCTTAGGGGTCTCATATCTTCGACATCTGACTCTTCAGGAAATTTCACTGAATTAGCCGCTGGGTTCAAATGGAGTTGGAGGAAGGGAGAAAAACAGGCAGACATCAAGGCAAAAAGGCAAATACATTTACAAACCACAATTGAAGAAATTGTCATTTCCTTAGGAAAACAGGAAAAAATGCTCTACTTGTGCACATGAACCCAATGCAATGTTTTTCTTTCCTCCGTGCTTTTTGCTTTCACCCTAAGCAAATACGTGCGAGGTTATTTTAACAGCTCATATTTCTGATAGCTCAATTGCTCTCTCTGAGATCTTCTAATCACCAAAAAGTTTAAGTCTAGAATCTGCTTTTTCTGTACAGCTCTCGGATGCAGAGGACATGGACCACAAAAGCAAAATCCATGGACAAGTACTTAATTTTCTTCACATTCTTTCAAGAGTATCTCACAAGCAATTGGATTAGCACTTTAAGCCTCACTTCTATGAATATTAATGTGCTCCATAATCAGATTTTTCTTTATGGGAACACTGACTAACCTGAAAGATCCCTATTAAGGCAAAGTGGCTTTTCTAAAAACAATACCTTAATGGCGATATTGGACGCTTTTTATTCTGATTTTTTGGTAACTGGGAAGCAGTGCTTACGATGCTCCGCCAAAACAGGAAAACTGAAGCATGGGTCAGACCCAAGATTGCCATGGACAAGGATTTAGTGGTGAGGGGCACTGCAACTTAATCATTACCTGCATCATACACGTTAAGACTCATTAGCCCCAAAAGGGTCTTGGACAAACACTTCCAAGGGACAACAGAGGTCAGAACATTCTGTGATGCAGCAAATAATTCATACACTCAACTACTTGATTTCATTCTAAAAATCTGACTCCAGTTTTGCAGAAGGTTACTGTGTGATTCTGATCTTAGTTTTATTCTTATACAAACTCTTGCAATGTGCAATATAGTTATATTTTCATTATACTGAATAACAGAAGGAAACTATCTTAAATTAATTGTGTCAATCCACATATAAGTATTTAAATATGCAAGTGTCAGGAATGGCCTGATCTGCAGAAATGCTGAACTTTAGCACTGCCCTCAACCTCCACAGGACGTTCTTAAGCTCAGCTCCTGAGAGAATAAATTAATATTCATTTGGATGCCTAAAAATGGCTTGAAGAGCATAAGGGTTCAAAAAGATATAATCATCTTAGCATGTGTTAGCTGAACATTCAGCTAAGGTACATTCAGCTTCTGACAAATCTAAGAAAATCCATCCAGGTCTAGACCATGATGAAAAAAAATATTAAGTGCCACAGGCTAAAGGGACACCCGTAGATAATTGCCTGGCCTCATCTGATGCAAAGTAACTTGACAGGATATGATAACCCGACCACAGAAGCAGGTCCTTGTTTTGAAAGCCCCACTTTGACAATTCTGGCCTTTATACCCGGCCAAAGGAGCTTCGAGCAGTGAAGTCCTCTACCAGAACCCACTACTCACTGTCTTCAAGGGTGCGCAGGAGCTGGGGAGGGCTCCGCGGGCCGTCGCCCGGCGTGGTGAAACACAGCACGGACGTGTAATAAGCAGTGAACTTCTTCAGGTTGCTGATGCAGCCACTGTGAACACCGTGAAAATCCGGGGCAATCGTGACCACCGTTAGTGTCTCCGGTGCATCCACTGGCCATGCGAGAAGCTGGAATTCCAAGAAAAAATAGAAATGGGATAATGGTTGGTGGAATAGCAAGTTATACTTTAATCTCTAAATCACCTTTGGGAATTAGAATTGTCATTTATAACTTTGAGGGACTGTCCTTTTTCTCAACATTATTTCACCACGTATTCTTCAGAAAACCTGCACGAAATAAAGGACAGCTAAAGGACATAAGGTGTTTAACCCTTTGGAAAAGCAAAGACCTAACTTTGACTACTAGTAATTTATAAATCATATAAAAAAAATGCAGTAGAAGTAACTCCGACAGAAATGTTCTCACACAGTCTTTGTAATGCAATTCAAAATCCCCATGAGGAACAGGAATGCTAAAGCTCTCACAATCTAATGCAGTTAAAGAAATCCAAGTAAAGAGAAATTTTCATCATTTCAGAACAGTTTTCACTGACCACTGACAGCTATAAATCATAATTTTAGCTATTTTGTACAATTGCTAAAGAAACTCAGACTTAAATTAGAAGTAGCTATGCAACAAAAT